ACATGTCGATGGATGCTGGGAGGGAGCGATCTGGTGATGGATCATCAAGCTGGCGCTATTGTTTGTTGCTGTGTCGGGGGTCTCCCGTCTGTGGTGGTGGTGGTAGTTCTGGTGGTATTGTTGTTGTTGGTGGTGGTAGTGATGGTTTTGTTGTTGTTGGTGGTAGTGGTGGTAATGGTTCGGTCCCTTTTTCTACAATACATGCATTGCTCCCATAATGTTTTGTTTGGTAATCATTGCTTTGTAATGAATGGCTACAGTACATGTCTCTGTAATGCAGGGATGATGTAAATGATTTCTTTCAGGGTTTTTTTTGTGTAGTGACTGCTCTGTGGGCCTGCATATCTTGAACTTGAACTTGAACGTAAAGCTTCTCATGACAGTTTATTCATACTAAGAATGAGTTTCATCAAAAATAGTATAACACTTCAAAATGCTTCTCTCTCTGTTTCTGACTCTCCGTCTCTGTCTGTCCCCCCCCCCCCCCCCCCACTCTCTCTCTGCTTTCTCTCTCTCTGTAATATGAAAAAAAATTCTCTCCTTCCCTTTTAATAATTGCAAATTATTTGTATGCAAAAAAAAGAACACTTGCTACATGTATTGAGGATGATGATGAAGATGATGATGATGATGATAATGATGATGATGATGATGACGTCATCATCATCATAACTGTATCCGCAAAACTCATTCTCTTAATGTACTTCCCATCGTACTTCTCATCTATGACTTCACTTTTTCCTCATCGGTAAAAGAGGCACAGTGTGAACCAATCGACACGAACCTCGCTTGCTGGAGTATACAGAGGTCAGACATGAGCGAGAGTCTCTCCTCATTACGTTTCTCCAGCGGTCCATCCAATTGCCCGATTCCACAGACAGCAAAGATTATTCAGATAGGATACAAACACGCAACGGAAAAAAACCCAAACCAAAATAAAAACAGGAGCACAAAAATGTTCGATCAACCCCGCGAGAGAGAAATGGGCTTGAACCGAAAAGAAAGGAAAAAAGCACTCACCCAAAATGAAGAAATGAATTACAGGTCTTCTCTTTCTTCTGAGGCTTAGAAAAGCCAGAACAAAAGTAAGAAAAAGCAATTCGGATTGATTATTCGCGCGGCTACGATCGTGTGTGCGCGTCGCATAATGGAGTGTAATCGCATGGCTAACTTCCCCTAACTGCCCGTATTTGAGATCCAAGATGGTCACTTCCCCTGACCCCTTCTATAACCCGCACGCAGTCATCGGGCTGGAAGCATTCTCATTTGGTGTGATTAAACCGATCGCTTACAGCCTACATAAAGAAAAAAAAGGAGGCGAAGGGGTTAGAGGGGTTGTAAGCTCCCCCCCCCCTTGCCCGAAGAGACTTTCTGCCTGCCACGCCGCCGTTTGTCTATCAGGAGAGACAGGCATTATTGTGTTGGCCGTGTCGTTTTTGCATTCCCAACCCAACTGGGACAATAGCGCAGTTCAAGCTCCACTTTAGTTAATTAGCCAAGTGTTTTCTGGCCGGCCGTGCGCTCTCCCTCGTGTGGTGAGCTGCCGGGAAAAATGCAAAAGTGAATGAGGTCAGGAGTGAGTGAGCCCGCTCCACGTCAATATACTTATTCATCTATAGTGCGCCCTTGCCTCTGTTCGCCTGCGTTATGGTAGAAGGTTTTTGGGGCACAGAAATCCCAATTGGGGTGCGGTGGAAATAGGAAGAGGTTGAAAAAAAACCCGCGCTCACAGAGAACAAGTTTTCTCAGGGGGATCGAAAGTCGTGCCATCCTGTCACGAGCAGGGAAAGGACCCATAAAGCCTGAAATGTAAACATACATTTAGAGATATTCTGTTGAAGTCACGTATGTATGTGGACTGCTCCAAGTTCATTCTTTTACTAACATAACCCGCGTCGCTCTCATTTGGTTGCTAGGTCGTAGTGGTGTACGGTCAGTCAGCACAAAAACGCCCATATGTCACCAGCGGGCAGATTATGATAACAGGAACACTGAAGATAAGTTGAAGAAGAAAACCATAGCAGAACACTTACCCAGACCGTCCCCACTCACGCAATTTTTCGCCTAAACCCTAAGTTGTTTTTTTCTCTTCCAATTTTCAATCAGTGCGCGGTATGAGTCAACATGAGCTAAAGTAAATTCGACCTACCCACCCCGTCCCCACCCCATTCGTAGAATAAGTTAGAAGCGTCTTTAGTGAATGACGTCATTGCAACCCCAATTTGACCGCACAGGCAGCGCTCACCTCGGGTGTGCATTTTAGATCGAGAAAGTTCCAAAAGGAGGGATAACGTTTACTTTTACCAAAACTTCAAAGTCAAATCTGGGCTTTGTTTGCATTGCTATTATTAAGGTCTTTGTTTTAGTAATAATTTTACGCACTTACAATACAACTGGATCATATAACTGCCGAAGCTAAAAGGTGTTACAAGAGGGATTAATACGAAGAAAAGGAGGAGAGAGATACAGTCGACAGAATGATGCTTGGTAGGAAAGAAGGAGCAACTTCATCAGAGCACCCGCCATCCGCCCACGTTCAGTTCTAATAGAGTACATTAACTACACAATCTATCATGGGAAAAAGTGGCTGGGAAAAAGACAAGACTATAACAGGAAATGTGAACTGAAAATTAGAATTTAGATGAAGCTAAAAAAAAAGGTGTTTTTTACTTTACACGTTATGAACTTTACAAAATCTTGTTAGCTTCATCTAAATTTGAATTTGAGTTTAAGTAGACAATAGGAGAAAAGAAAAGACGTTCCTCTTTTAGTGCCGTCAAAAATTCGTGGTGCGACTTATATCACTTTTATTCAAATATCTCCTCAACTATCGAACTTACGTTCTCCAATTTTTGCACAGTGACTTGTATCAATTTGTCTTAACGGATCAACATTTTGGTATACACCTGCTAGCTGTATTCTAGAAAATTCCTTAATAAATACGAAGAAAAAATCCAAGTGAGTGGTTTCTACAGATTTTTAAATGTTTACAGCTGGGGAAATATAGCTTTTAATAGCAAGTCCGTCAGGTTTTTCTAATCGGGATATTATGCTTATTGAACGCATGTTCAGAGAACCATTAGTGCAAACACGTGTTCACTATAACAATAATTTCTTGTAAAAAGCTTTGCAAGTAAAAATTGTCTTTGATGAGCTGTGACGTAGGCCATATGCGTAATCAAAATGTGTATGAGAAGCGGGAAGTGCTGTGAACAATACATTGTACCATTTTACGAGTGACAGAGATTTCAAGGTTTTTTAATCTATCCTTAATTGCCCTAGAAAAATACGATTTAGTTAAGACTAATCGATACAAACTGCTATGCGAAGTATGGATGACATTGATTCACCCGTTAAAGAGATATTTGAGGATAAGCTGCACCCCGAATTTTTGACCGGTCAATCGTCATCACTTTGAAGCCAATAGCTTTCTCTGGCAAGTACGTACGGAGTGGCGCCAGCTTGTTCATAAATTTGTCTTAATAATTTCAGGAAATACGAAGCGTTTTTGTTTCAGTAAAGAGAGGCACATAAACACAACAAAGATGATCTGGTGTTAGGAAAAAGACGGACGGATAGGCACACAGAAACAGTTGAGGAATTTACTACCAGGGACAACATCCATCCACCAGATGCAAATGTTATGGTTTACAACGTATTTATTTTGTTTACTCGCTGTTGACAATGTCCCCAGAATGTCAAAAGCACAGTCGCATAATGGCTCACCCACTTTTACTAATGAAATTCTAATTCCTGATTATTACTGTAATTCATGCCTGACCATTGACATCATAACATGCGTCATGAATCTTTAATTTAATAGCAAGCCCCCTTTTATGACATATTGATTTACAGCTAGCATCAACTCGTAACTGATACACTGTAGAATAGAATATAAGACGATAAGGTTTGGACCGAGAAGATGAAAAATGGTTCGCTTTTGGTGTATATGTATGTGTGTGGTAATGTGTATCCTGTACATGAATGTGAATGAGTGTTTATGAGTTTATGTGTGAGAGCGACGACGCATGTTTGTATACATACGTATAATAGGCAATTCAATAAAATGCCACAGCCTGTGTTTGTCTGTGTTTGTGTGTATGTATGTGTGTGTGTGTGTGTGTGTGTGTGTGTGTGCGTTTGTGCGCACGCGCGTGTGTGTGTATGTGTGTGTGTGTGTGTGTGTGTGTGTGTGTGTGTGTGTGTGTGTGTGTGTTTGTGAATGAGAGAGATGGGTAAATACAGTCAAACCTTCCCATTTCGATCCTTGCGCTTTTTTCTTTCATTGTATTAAATCATAATGACACTGTCTAAAACATCTTATCTAATATAGATAGATAGATAGATAGATAGATAGATAGATAGATAGATAGATAGATAGATAGATAGATAGATAGATAGATAGATAGATAGATGGCACTGGTGTGTGATCGAGCGTGAGTATGTGTGTATGTGTGTGTGTGTGTGGGGGGGGGTAGGTTTGTGTGTGTGGGGGGGGGGGGGGTATGTGTGTGGGTGTGAGTGTGAGTGTGAGTGTGTGTGTGTGTGTGTGTGTGTGTGTGTGTGTGTGTGTGTTTATTTGTTATTAAAGACTGAAAGTTTAAAACTTTCTGCAGAATCGGTTGTCTTTTTGATAAAATATTTGATACCTTTTCCCTCCCAATACCGAGTTGTCGTCTCGGTGGTGCAAAAACATGTTTCTGCCTTCCCTCTTTCTGTCGTGTGACATTAGCTACGAACCTACCCACCACCCAGGTGTGTTAATACTCAAGTGAGTGTTTAAGACAAACGGACGGGATGATATAAGTACTTGGTGAGCTCAGTGACTCTCCTTTGGCGGAAGATTTTGATCAGTCTGAAAATACCACAGTCGGTTAAACAAATAAACAACGTGGCAATGAAAGGGACGAATGTGCTTAACTCACAAAACAGGAAAAATGTGGTGTTTATAAATAGCAAAAGGAATGATATAATTTCAAAAATTTCACAACACGTTTCGATTTGTTTTAAGCTGTTGTCAACATTTATTAAATGTTTTTACATTATTAACATCAGGGACTTGTACTGTAGTAAAGCAAAACTCCTTCATAATTTCTTAGATGTTTAATGTGTACATTTGCTTTAACTGAAAGGCACCGTTTACACATTATTAATATTCTCGAACAAATAACTATTCTACACTGATGACATAGTGTAGCAGTATTGAATGTCCTACGAATTGCAATTTATAACAATGTTACAATACGGTTTGAGTAAAACAGGGAGGATTTTCCTCATCAGGACTTTATCGTAATCATAAACTTAATACATGACATCACTTAGCCACCTGATCTAATGTTTATATATGGATTTCAAACCTATTCGCCACAGCTTGGATAAACCAATTTTTTCTTTTCTGTGTTTTCTCTTTTTTTTCAGGGTGACGGGGTTGTTGGATTTTTTTAACGTTTTGAAATACATGTATTTCAAAAGAGTGACAGAGGGAAAAGGTAGAAGTTTGCCTTCATTCTGCTACTTGTAACTTATTCTACCTCCTGACCTTAAGATCATGTCATTTGAAATGTATTCATATTTGCTCCATAAGTTCTTTATCTAGCCCACTAAACTGCTGACCATATTATCGCACAGCTCGTCCAACGGCTGCATAAGGAAGGGCGTGATCGCAAGTCCCAGAAGACAAGGTACCCATCTCTTGGTACCGCTCGGTAGCTTGGTCTCATCCAGCAGGGTAAACGTGAGTCTGGAGAAAGGATGCGGGTCGTTTGGCAAATTAAAAGAGAAGACTATTTAAATGTGCACTAGAGTGTTTCAGAGAAGTGCATCATTTATTTGGCTATATGGCTGAGGGACAGAGATTCCTAGAGTTTGGAGTGGTAAATAGCTATTCTACCCGCCGTTGACGAGTCCAGGTAGTAAACAGCAATTCAGTGCTGGGGCAAAGGCAATATAGACAGCTAGAGACAACAAACGTAAAGAAAAGAGGTAGGACCTCCCGCCGGCGCCCTACTATAACCATCCACTATGCATGAGTTTGAGCTTGATCCCGAAACCTCTTTTGATAAGTCACTTTAAAAAAATAACGTTTCTGAAAGTAAGAGAATTTTCTTCCCTCTCAGATTCGAACCTAGGACTTCCTTCACTTGACCGAATTACTCCATGGGCTCAGCTGTTGCTAAAACGCTGCTGCTGCTATTGCTGCCGACGCAGCTGTTCCTGATGTTGCCGATGATGATGACACACACACACACTCACACACACACACACACACACACACACACACACACACACACACACACACACAAACACACACACGTCACTTTCCCACATGCACACACATGTACACACAGATAAACACACACACATACACGCGTTCGCTCACACACCAATGTCATCTATCTATCTATCTATCTATCTATCTATCTATCTATCTATCTATCTATCTATCTATCTATCTATCTATCTATCTATCTATATATCTGTCCGTCTGTCCATCTCTCTTTCTGTCTGCTGTACATAATGATGGTGCTGCTGCTGCTGATGATGATGATGAGGATGATGATGATGATGATGAGGATGATGATGATGATGATGATGATGATGATGATGATGATGATGATGATGATGATGATGATGATGATGTTTGGTAAAAACTTTCATCCTAAGGACTGTGCTGTGCATGCCTTTAGTATACATGTAGAATTCTATCATACTCATACATACCTTGAAGCGTGGTAAACGATCAGCGTTGGGAATAGATATGAAGCCAAACCCTCCCATAAAACTGCCCTCAGCAAGCTCACAGCCGGACTGCCATCCTATGGAGAGTAGTCAAAAAAGTAATCTGAGATACGACATTGAGATTTCTTGATTAGCGAATGGATCAAGGGGTCAGAACTGCTGCAGTGCCTTAGTTGTTTCAATAATTGTTTTGGGTTTTTTAATGCAGGCGCTCCCCTAGTTCTGTTTTGAGAACTGGGACACACATGAAAATAGCTTTGGGAAAAGTCTGTTTTTGGACATTGTAACACCGGAGGTTACAATTCAGAACCTATGAACATATTCTTCGTCTGTCTTTTCTGATGTATATCAGCAGTGATTTTTTCCCTCAACATCTTATCCATATCTGTCTTTCGCCAGCCTCTCTAACTCTCTGTCTGTCTGTGTTACTGTGTGTCCATCTATTGGTTTATCTTTTTCACACTTGCTTGAAGACTACAGCATAAAACTGGAAATGTCCGAAACCATAGATTTTTCCTTTAAATCCTCGCTGTGTAACACAGTTATGACATAAAGGGATTGAAACATGTCTAAAATAAACACTAAATCAATTTTCGAATAGCAGAATACATACACTTCAAACAATGCTAGAAATTAAAGAAACAAGGAAGACTCTGGGTGTAAATTTTCAGTTAGTAGGAAAATGTTGCTTTATCAGTGTTCCCCCTGTATTCTTCACTTGTAAACACACACACACACACTCACACACACACACACATACACACACACACACACACACAAACACACTCACACAATCTCATATACACACACACAGACGTCACTTTCACACATGCACACACACACACACACATAAACACACACACACATAAGCACACACACACACACACACACACACACACAATCACACACACACACACACACACACACACAAACTCTAATTTCACTTACGGGTGCGACAAGGCTGTAGATGCAATGGCTGCCAATGAAGCACGCACCAATGGTGTAGCAGATGTCGATTTTCCTGGAACTGGCTACATAAACAAGCGCTTCTCCGACTGCAAACCCGTACCCTAAAGCACGGAGTGGCAGCTCTTTGAACAAAGCATCAGCCATTGCGATGTTCTGGTGTACCTGTATCTATCCCTTGCACGTGGGCACTTTTCGAAACTGTTTTCTTTTGTTTTTTCTGTTACCTGTAGACAGAACAAAGACACGCAGAAGTAAATAATAAACCATTACTCCAGGTGTACTCCGTTTGGCTGAGATTTTAGACATTCACACCTTTGCGCTGAACTTCTGTCTCCCAAAGAGGAAGGTCTCCGATTAGTCCTACTAGGATAAGAAGGAATTGAAAAAAACCCACCCTTTTTTCCTTTAGAAGACCCAGAATCGGATTCAAACCCGTGCCACCCGCATAATTGTTTTTTCAAATATATAGTGTCATACCAAAATGTATAAACTCTAGATATTATATTTTTCAAAAAGCAGAGAGTTACCACATTTGCATTTTTGATAAATTAAGTCAGATGCTTAATGCCGTCATATCTCGGGCTACTTGGTTTGAACACGTCACAAATTCGACAAATTTTGATTAATTGTTTAATGTCTAAAGTCAGCTGGAAGCCGTGTCAAAATCGTGTTCCATAAGTAACAATATTTATTGATAACAAAAGAGAGGAGATTGCAAGCACGCATTACTTGAAAGTATGATCTATGTGTTTTTCTATCACACTGACAAACCATAATATTACGAATCCGAAAACATTCAGCTTTCAAGGAAGTATTGTAACCTATCCTGCTGGGCCTCAAAACTACTATTCTGACAAGATCTTTTTTCATTCACTGTCTTAATTGGGCACCCAATCCCGCCTGGGCAAAGTGAAGAAAATCTGTGTTTCTTTCACACTGACAAAACATCTGACCCGAACTAGGCTTCAAATCTTTGACCTTACGGTTGTTAGCTCAGCAGCTCAACCACAGAGTTACCGACGCTGCAAATGCTTTCGTGAGTTTATTTGCGTTTGTTTTTCGTAAAAGAGGAAAACGTTGAAAGAAGAAATGTTTAAAACCATTTCAAGGAAAACGAGAATGCATACAAAAATAACAGACAAATAGGGGAGAACCTAGAATCGGAACCCCCAAATCACTCCCTTTCCTAAATTGAAGATATAACCGAGAAATGTCATCGTTAACTCAAAGAACAGGTGGATACGCTCCAAGTACTAGACAATACATAAGAAAGAAAACGTGCCATTTCCGGTGGGAAATCTTTACAGTGGTAAGCTTTAAATAATTATTATAGAAATAACAGACGGAATTTCTGATCTCCCTGTCAGCCAGACACAGGACACATTGTCTAAAGCAGACACCATGTTGTTAATCTAGTCAGGGGTTATCGCAGCACAACAACTTGAGGGTGCCATCGTGGCATCAAGGTAGTACCATTTCCGTTTCTTTCTCATATAAAAATACCCCCCCCCCTCCCCCTCCTCCCGAAAAGAAAAATCAGGGATGTTGTCAGTTTGGCGTCGCGCAATGTATCGACCAAGGGAAATAACTCATGATAACTACGATGTCGGGCATGGCACTGGACATTATTTCTTTCAAGAGTGTTTTAAATCAATAAACATGTGTTTCGTTTTGTGTTGGGCTTGAAAGTAATATCATGCAAAAAGATGTTTATGATGAAGACCGATGATCAAGTCAGTGACTGTTATTCTATGGTAATGCATCTGAGCTTGAACAAAAGACTTACTTCTTTTGGTATCTGACAATCGGTCAATCGAATTCTCGCGGGTACGATCCCAACGGAAAAATTCATTTCGTTGGGCAAGGATGATGGCGTAGCGGAAGAATGGAGGACACGTATCGTAGATTTATCCCTCCCATATTTGTAAGTTGTTCCTGGCAGTTCTTGAGAAGTCACTTTTCCTCCAATCAGTTTTTTACTCGTTTGTTCATCCTTATTTGTTCTTACTGTCTTTTACTGTTTACCTCTTTCTTAATTTTTTTGTCGTCAGGTTCCGGCAAAGCATTCATTCGTTTTCTAAAGTTAACGCACACTTACAGACACAAACACGCACACGAATGCCCACACGCGTGCACACACATACACACACACACACACTCTCACGCTCACACACACACGCACACAAAAACACACACACACACACACACACACACACACACACACACACACACATAAACACACACTCTAAACAGTTTCTCACATGCACGATGCACGTTGCAACATTCATTGCCAAATGTTTCGTTTTTCTTATTAGTCTCGATATTATGTTCGTCTCTCTCTCTCTCACTCTCTCTCTCTATTTCTCTCTCTCTCTTTCTCTCTCTCTCTCTCTCTCTCTCTCTCTCTCTCTCTCTCTCGGAGTGTGTGTCCCTCCTACGCTATGCAAGACGATCTTTCACCCCTTGTCGTTTCAAGATCACGCGCCAAGGTGCAAGACAAGCATGGCGAGGCTTGTTTTCTTTGAAGCGTGTCAGTACTACAGACGGTCGCAACAGATTAAAAAGATAATTCACTCCTATTCACTCCACCACACAGCGGACTATCATCACAGACGACGCCTCAAACCCACGACTTGATGTCTCTCTCGGAGAACTCGTAAACATCCATACAGACAACTGACACGCACCGTGGTGTAAACAAAAGTTAATCTGCCTTGAGCATCAACTGCGTCGACTCAGACAGACGTGATAAGCTGGACAGGAGGTTGAGCATTTGCTTCAGGTGACGGATTTAGACTCCCAATGTTAAGGGGCAGACGAATGTAAGGTTTATTAAATATAAAGCGAGGATATTCTGCTACGTTCTTGGAGGAACTATAACTATATAGTTACTCCAAGGCTACGTTACTCCATGCATCATCATGTGCCGGGGGCGTGTTCATAATTTCATATGCGGTTACAGGGACCCAACAAGTCTGCTTACGCTCTGCAAAATAGACACACCCTCTTCTTTCTTCATATTATTCTTAAAAAGGTACACCCTCACCCAGAAAAGACACACCCTCCCCTTTTTTTCAGTAAAAGCAACTACAAATAATATAAGATGAGCTGAAATTGATAGTAGGGTTGCGTACGCCAACTGACAAACCTGCACTTTTCATTTTAGCTGTTGAAGTAGAAGGGGATACGATCAATGTAATGTAAAACTATTCTGAGTGGTCGTGAGAATTCCTTTCAAATAAAACATGTTTTTCAGTGAGTTGTTTTTTCTATTCCTTTATAAGGAGACTTCAAAGCCCACACGTCATCATCAAAATGAACTGAATATCTCATTTTATCGTCATATTGGAGGTTTTGCTCATCGCTTACCATAAGATACCACGAGAGAAGCTGCATCGGTTGATGAAAAAAGGCGTGATGGTTTTCGGGTATTAAGCTCAACCAGGGAATGTGCTCGTCTTTGTTAAACTGACCTCGCCACACTTCACCAGCTGAGACTTACCGCAATCTTATGCAAGCACCATATTCCATTCCCGAAGGCGGGAGGTATTAAAAATGGAACTGAAAGTCTGCGGGATATGGGCATTAAAGGCATCTCTCTTCCAGTGGAGACAGACAGATTGACTGAGAGAAAGAGATACATAGAGAGTGAGAGAGAGAGAGAGAGAGAGAGAGAG